CTAGACTCTCGAATTTTCGAGAGTGCGACGTCGCTGCACTTGCTCTCGATCGGGAAACTCTCGAAACCCCATCGAGAGCTGTCAGCGGGCACGCTACATGGCCACTCTCGAAACGTCGAGAGTCCCCCAACTGCAAACCGCGGATTCACAAGTGTCCTCGGGAGTTGGCCGCCGACCCTCTCGTTTTGCGAGAGTGGACCTCCTGTGGCGGCCAGACTTTGTCCCGTAGTGCAGTGCTGCAGCTCTTCTGTCGAGTGGGACGACGCGCAGGGTTTGGAGAGTTCATCTAGTGTAACAGTTTATAGAGTAAGTGCAGCGAAGGCGGGTATTTCGCGAGTCTAGCCTCTCTGACAACGCTAGACGAACTCTCGAAATATTTCGAGAGTCTAGAGTAGTGCTGTGACGCCCAACCTCACGCCCAGCACGACTTCCTGATCGGAGTGGGATGTGGGCCTGGAAGTGCGAAAAGGGGTGTGCCAAGGATTTTTGGGGAAGTGGGGGAGTCTTAAGGGTATGAATGCAATTAGGCGAATGAGGGGTGCGCGCGCAAGGGTCTCACAGTCCGAAGGGGCCGGGACACTGTGGGCGACGGGTTACGGGAAAATCCCTTCGTGGTGGAGATGGTCCCGAAAAGTTGGGCCGTCGGGGGCCGCCACGTGGCGCAGGCCGCCGCGTACCTGGGTTGGGCCTTCGGAATTCCGGAGTTCTCTGTTCGCCGCTACGTCGGCAGTTCACGCAAAACGTATTGGGCCAATAGGGGGCTATGGCCGACCACGGAACAACACTGAGTTGATGATACGGGAGAAGAAGGCGGAAAGGAGGGAAACTGGTGGTGATGACAACAAATCCCGGGTGGGTAAAGTAGAAGGTGTGGTCGGGAGAAGGGAAATCGGAGCACCGAGGGTCACTAGAGGTGGCGCAGTGGCATTCCCGCGGACATAGCCGATTCTCCGTGTGACAGGGGTATCGCGTCCTTATGAGCTCGTTTATCATAGGGGTGAAATAGTCGGGGTCGTAGGACGAGTCTGAGCTCCAAGATCGCGTCATGGTATCATCGTCAATGGGACAGCTCGGGTCGGGATATCGTCACCGCGCACGAGCACGTGCAGGATAGGCAGACTCAGTGAAGCCTCAGCGTGCTCGTACGGGATGACGGTTCCGCCGCAAATCTTTTTGGGTGGGCGAATCGACGTACGGGAATGCGTGTAAGGGCGCGATTCGGATCGCGTTTACACGTGTTCTCGCGCGGCGGTCGCGGAGCCAGACCTCGGATCGTTTAATTGTTTCGGATTATGCAAGATGCAACCATATCACAACCCCCCCCCCATCGCGAGATAAGCAAAAACGAGGACAAAATCGCTATCGGTGCCAGATCCTCGTCCCACCTACAGCTGCATCAGGTGTGGTCAAAGATTTGTTACAACAAAAAGCAAGGACAGGGGTTCTTAGCAAAAAGATATACAAGCAGGCATATCGTCCACACATCCATACGTCCATACATCCATACGTTCGATAATCATACACATAATGCAATCGGGACGAACATAGCAACGGCAAGTGTGAGCAAAAACCCAAGCCCAAATTTCAGAAAGCCGAAACGGAAATAAGAACGGGCAAACCGCCCGGAGCCGCAATCAAAATGTATGTACACAAATGAAGAGGGGGAAGAGACAAGAAAACAGCGAATCCGCATCTATCAACCTCAACTCTCTCCTCTCTCTCTCTTTCTCCGATGCGGACAGTCCGTCGTCACGCACCAACCCACGAAGTTGTCACCCCGCTTAGTCCTCCCGCACCCGTTGGATTCGCCCATGCCCACAATCCGTCGTGGCCCACGTCAATGCCGTGCGTTCGGCACCAGCCCGTCAGGTAGACCAACTCTCACTCTACTCACCTCTTACTTCGCTCGTGTGCCAACCCTTCCTGATCGCGCAACCCCGAGCTTCCAACAACGGGTTAAGAGAGTTGACTAATCGTGCAGCCGAAATTTATAGCGTGCATGCATGCGCGAAGAACACGGAATTACCAGGACTTAGAGTGAGGATTAGAGAGGGAACGCCTGCGTTCTGCATGATCGGCCGTGGCGTGGGGGACGTAACCCTTCTCCACGCATCGATCCGAGCATGCAAGCCGCAGCTTACAAAATTTCAGCAAAAGAAAGAGAGGGAGGGCGGGAGAGACGAAGTGCAAAAAGAAAGATACAGTTACAATGGCGCCCGCCCAAAATTACAGTTACACACACGATTAAGGGCTCCCACTAATCAAAGTACCGTTGCGGCCGCATGAAGAAGCGCGTAGACAAAAGGCGCTGCGCAGCAGGAAAAATCCTAATTACTAAATTCCTAAGTTCCTATCTAATGCGAAAAAGCAAAAAGAAGCACGAATTCCAGAAGGAAAGTCCGAAATTCCGAGAGCCATCGGGGGCTTGACAAAATTCGAAAAAGATTTAAATGGAATTTCAAAAAGAACGAAGCAATTTCCCGCGCGATGTCCGCGCCCAAAATATCGAAATCGAACTGAAAGAAACGACGTCAACCCTTATTAATCGTGCGCGTGGTGGCGCGCGAGACATCCATCCGACCAATCACTCCACCGGCCGTCCCAAGACACACCCGATCCCGTGCTTGGCCATTCGAAAAAGAAACGACGAAAAAGGACGAAAAAGCGAGGACACTGATGCAATTCTCCACCGATCTCGATCTCCCGTAATTGGCCCAATCTTCCCAGCTTAGGACCCCTCATTGCAACCGCGCAGAAAATCGCGCGTTACAGAAAGCGGTTCGTCACAGTGCAGCGAGGCCCTTAGTTTAAAGCACCAGTATATGGGCACCTGGGCCGCAGGTCTAACACCTCAAATTCTGGAGGTGCAAAACGAAAACGTGACCGCCGATTCAATTTATCAACGGGGGTCCAGCGTTGACGTTTCGGCCTCATTTTCTCTTGGCAAAAAGTTTCGGACTGCAAGGCTGGGATCGTGTACTTGCAGTTTAACACACCAACGAATCGAGTGGATCCACAAGTCCTGCTGTGATATCAGAGATGCTGGTGGCTGTGCCCAAAACACCCCAACTAGGTTGTAGTGGTGCCAAGGTTTGGAGCTTAGGGCCAGATGTGGAGAAATTTGCCAGTCCTATTCCCAAGGCTTTTCTTTTTTTTTAGGGAAAATTTTTGAAATGCCCCTCCGACTTCCATTTATTTTGCGGTATGCCACTCTGACGGTCGACTTACTCTGTCGCGCTCCTCTGACAACGATTGAAGTTTCCGAAAAACCCCTGGCGTCGTTTGGCCCTGAAATATGTCCAATATGCCCCTACCGGTACCGGTTCCAAATTTTCAGTATGCCCTGGTACCTCCCCTCCAGGGCCAAGGGAATGGCTGCGAGTGCCACCAACAGGCACAGAGGCATGCTGCAAAGTTGCACACCTCACTGGCAGGGGCCTGCAGGAAACTTCAGAGGCCCCACGTGCACGACAGGGTACGTCGGCCGTCGCAGGGGCATACCGCAAATAAACAGAAGTCGAGGGACATTTTGAAAATTCCCCTTGTTCTATGGAAGAAAAAAACCTGGATATATTCTGGGAGGCTCCAGTCGGGTTGCTTATCCCCGGCAAGCATTAGACAATACAAAGAATAGAAAAGAGGAGGGGGCGAAACTGTTAGGATAAAACAAAATCGCTACTTAGAAGCACGAGACTAACTAAAGTACTCAGGCCTACAAAATACAATTCCAACCTTTTTTTTCCGTTTTCCTTTTTTAACAAAAAACAATGACCACTACTAGAGGGGGTGGTACAAGCAGCCAGCCCGACAAAAACATCATGGAAGACACGTGAAATCTTTCTTTTTCTTTCTTCTTCTTCTTCTTCTTCTTCTTCTTCTTCTTCTTCTTCTTCTTCTTCTCCTTCTTTTTTTCGTCATTTTTTTGTTCACTTTTTTTTTTTTTTAATTCATCATCATTTTTCATCTTGAAGTTCTTCTTCTTCGTCTTTTTCGGCGTTTTGAAATTTGTCTTCGTGTTTTTTTTCATCTTCCTTCTTCTTCTTTTTTTTCATCATCTTCTTCTTCTTCTTCTTCTTCTTCTTCTTCTTCTTCTTCTTCTTCTTCTTCTTCTTCTTCTTATTTCGCTCAGAGAGAGAGAGAGAGGGCCGGTTGAGGGGGTGTTTCTTTTGTGGCCGAGCGGTTTTCTATTTGGCTGCCTGTGGTCTGTTGACAATGGGGCCTAGGAAAGGGAGGGGTGACCAGCCGTTTGTCCCCGTCAGTTAGAACAAACCGAGGGTGGCGGAGCTCAAGTTTTGCGGGTTCAAGTGGATCACAAAGGGCCAAACGCTGCCGAACTCCAATGGGAATTTCCTCATGGAGTGCAAACTGTGTGGCCAGGGGTTTCACGACAGTCAGGCGAAGGCAGCTGCGCACTTCACCATCAAGAACAGCTGCCTGAAAGTGTCAGTGGAGCAGCTGGCAGAGATATGGAATAAGGGTAGGACCCCATAGGACGGCAGCAAACGGTTTCAGAAGTCCGGAGGCAACTTCCGAGACCCCACATATGGATTTTGCCGCCGCAGAAGTCGTTGGCCGACCGTTTCCACTTGGTTCGCGGCCCCTTTATTCCTACGTGGCCCTGAATTCCCGTTTTCCAAAATTCGGTCTGTTTACCTACCTCCCGGGTGCGTACTCCGGCACATGTGGACGGAAGTCGCAACCCTTCCGTTACAACCAATGGCAAGGGACCTGGAATGGCCTTCCAGGTCCCAACCTTCCCCAAAAAGGAAAACTGCCCTGGAATTTCCTTTTTGGACGACCGCCTCCGAAGCAAAAGCAACATTTCGCGGTGGCGGTGGGGTCCCCTCTGTTTCATCATCTCCGTTGGTGGTGGGCAGTCGACTGGAAGTAGAAGACTTCCGAAACCGTTTGCCGCCATCCTGTGGGGTCCTACCCTACGACGACATACACCTTCGATTGGAGCCATTATCGGAAAATCCTGGACTTCCTCAAGTCTTGTGGGTTCCGAGACATGAGATGTACTTTAGGGAGGGTGCAGGCGGGGGAGGAGGAGGACAACGAGGACGAGAGGAGGGCGGTCAAGGGTCGAGAGAAGGACGACAACAGTGATATGTCGGCCATGGACGTGCGAAGACAGGAGGAGCGTGCGGGTGGCAAGATGAGGGGGGGGAAGGCCGTCGACGAGGACAGTACTCCGAACGAGGTCGACGATGACGATAACGACGTGGACATTGGAGCCTCTCTTGATGGGGGTCTGATGGCTGGTGGGCGACGTGGCCATTAGGGGGCTGCAAGAGCAATGATGGAGGCAAGGGGATCGAAGAAGAGAATGAGGAAGGCAAAAAAGACTGTCACGGAGACTCCGCCGGCACCCCCACTACCGACGAAGAGCATTGTCCTTTGACAGACTTCGATTGACGAGGCCTTCGATCCGGTCTGGCAACGATATTTTTACAACTACTTCCTGCAGTGGTTCTATGTGAGCGGCATTCCATTCGAGGCGGCGAGGAGGCCAGAGTACAAGAGACTAAGGAAGTACTTGCTTGAGTGTCCGTCGTACGCACACCCTGCGTTGCCCACACATCGTGTCATTTCCGTTGACGACATCCCTGATCAGCAGCGAGTTGTAGCGGACTTGGCGGTAGCCGTCCGCACGGACGTTGCGGTGACGGGAGCAACCATCCTCACGGATGGTCGCAAGTCCATCACGAGCGACCAGATCGTTAACTTCCTTGTCGCAGGACCCACGAGAGCGTACCTTTTCAAGACGGTGTAGCGGGACGGTGCTATTCAGAAAACAGCAGAGGCTGTAGTCGAGCGATGGAAGGACCTGTTCGACCACTTCGGCGTTGACAATGTCGACGCCATTTGCACGGACTCCCCACTGGCACATGTGACTGCTTCTAAGCTCCTCGCGAAGGAGGAGCTCAAGTACAGCCGCATCACTTGGCTTCCTTGTGCGGTTCATGTCTGCAACTTGTTGTTGTCAGGCATCGCGAAGGATGGCACAAATGAGAAGATTGGAAAAGGGGAGGACACTATCATCAAGGCTCGAGCGGTTGTGCGTTTCATCAGAGAGCATGGGGCTGCTCCCAGCCTTTATCAACAATACTCTGCCGCACGCCCATCTTCCGCCTCCGTAGCCGCGCCCAGTTCCAGCACTGCACCTGCACCGGCTCACCGTCGAGGCAGAGAACTCGCGTACCCCGCACAGACGAGGCTTGCCACTCACTATTTGATGTTGGAGAGGTTGTTGGATCGTCGTCGAGCGCTGGAGGCATTGATGGTGAACGATGATTGGTTGAGGACTGCATGGAGGAGTTCCATTTTCTTGCAGGCTAAGTGGGTGCGTCATTAGGTGCGGTATGCGCCATTTTGGGAGCAGGTGGAGGACATCGTGGAGGTGATGACGCCTCTGATGCAGTTGCTACGTCGTTTGGATGTAAGGGGGCGCGTTATGACTCGCATGTGGTCGTGGGGGCTTACCATGGTTGATAGGGTGGTGAAGGCCAAACTGAAGAGAACGACAAAGGAGGAGCTCCACATCATCATTCAGGCTTATCAGGCGCGGGTGAATCATATGTTGGAGCCGACACATTGCATGGCCCACCTCCTCAACCCGCATCAGAGGAGCATCACGTTTTTCGGAGCGGCGAGGCGGAGCGCGCACGATAGGACATTGGATGAGGAGGCACTGCGATACCTCCGGCAGCAGACTGGCAATGACGAGGCTTTGTATTAGACCTTGAGCTCACAGCTGGCGAAGTTCCACATTCGGGAGGGCGATTGGACGTATGATGGAGGGGTTGATGGTGACAAGGATGCGGCCTCCTGCAGAGGGGAGAAGGAGACGTCGCAGGTCGGGCAGGGGTGGGTGCAACACGGTGATGGGGTCCCTCTCGTTCAGACTTACTCCATTCACCTGACGCACACATGGACATGCGTTGCTCCAGCGGAGAGGAACTGGACCGTCCATGAGCGTGTTCAGGTGAAGAGGCGTAACAGGCTTGGTTTCATCAAGCTCACTCGATTGGTGGAGATCTCCACCAACTTGAGATTGATTCGTTGTCAGGGGAGGGGTTCAGGGTATGTTCTGCCATGGGAGGACGATGAGGAGGAGGCAGAGGAGGCTCTTCCTCCGCCTCGTGATGAGGGTGTTCGGCCCGACGACCGAGTCACAAAGGCGCAGCATGACCAGCACATGCAGCGCGGGCAGAGGGATCGCCTTTCGAAGGCATCACCCAACGTTGAAACGTATTTTGGTTGTTGCGTTACCGTGCTCATGCCGATCGAGCAGGACTCCGTCTACGATCCTGAGTCTGATCCTATGGTTCAAGACTCGATTGAGGCGGAGCCATGGTCCGATCCAGACGACCTTGCGGTGGAGTCAGAGCACGGAGGGTCTGATGAGGATCGTGACGACGCTCCTCTCACCGAGTTGACGCCTCCTCGGACGCATGGTTTTACTACAGCCTTTGCGTCGCCTCCCCCTCCACCTCGACCTTTGACTCCTCGTGACGTTCCACTGCGAGGCCCTGAGGACCAAGTCGGGGGCATGATTCTGCCCCCTCCGACGGATCGTCGTGAACATGGCAAGCAAGGAAGTGGGGGGAATGTTGAGGAGGATGACGACGAGGGCGATGATGTTAGGGGGGGGTACGAGGGCAGCAGTAAGGACGATGATGATCCCGGCTATTCACCAACACGCCCACGTGACGACGACGACGAGGGCGCCGATGGTATGCAGCCAGCGGGCGTTTTACGGAGGTCCGATAGACGTCGTGATGACCAATGGAGTGGTGCCGGCACAGGAGGTAGCGGGGCTGGTGTTGGGGTTGCGGGGCACGTAGGTGGTGCAGGCCGTGCTGGGGGTGGACAGACGAGGTGAGAGTCTGCATCTTCCACTCGTACGGTGCACTGGGATGAGCTGGGTGTCGCGTCAGCAGAGGTTGGTGTCGCGTCCACACAGCTTGGTGTCGCCTCTGCACAGGTTGGTGCCCCGTCTGCAGAGGTTGGTGCAGCGTCTGCACAGGTTGGTGTCGCGTCTGCACAATTTGATATCAGTTTTAGTGATGTCATTTTTGTTATGTCGCTAGGGAGCGTGGTAGTGGTGGTGCAGACGTAGGGGCTTCGCCCATCAATCAGATACTTAAAGGGATGCCTTCATACAACGTGGGTGACATCAGTAGCAACATGTTGCGGGAGGCGGAGGAGGAGACAGAGGGTTCGTTGGGGCACCATGAGCATCTAGTAGGGGATGATGGGGAGTGCCGACCTGTGTAGGAGCAAGTGCCAAAGTCGGACCACGACATGACCGACCACGAGGAGAGGGAGAGGGCGTTGGAGTTGGCTAAGCGTTGCGAGATGACACACAGTATTGCGGCGAGGGCACTTGCAGAACGGATGCTCGAGACGGGTGATGGTGAGGGTCATCGTACGGCGAAGGATGCAAAGGTTGAGTGTAGCGGTGTTGTTGGTGGGGAAGCAGGCGACGGACCTCCATCACCAGTTCAGGGTGTTTGTGTATTGCCATCCGCAGGAGCCTTGTCAGCGGGGGAGTTAGAGTGGCATGTACGACAAGAACCATTGCGGACAGATCGACGCGGACGGATGGATGAGGCATCAAGGAGGGCCATGGCAGGGGTCCTAGCTTATGTGTCGTGCAACCCGTCAGTGCCATCGTCTACGACATACGTCATCCCGCCTACACATGTTGAGGGTCCAGGCCTGACACTGAATCCCACATCGGCACCTGGTGAGGAGTCTCTGTCTCCCAAGTCACAGAAGAAGGAGATGAGAGTAGGAAAAAGTCTTAGTACTGTGAGGAGGGTAACCCACCAGATGAGGTCGAGTTAGCCTGAGTTAGCTGGTTTACATCCGCGGACTTAGGAAGTATTGGGTGGGGACGTTGTCGCGGACACGGCAGGATGGCGCTACGGGGCCTCTACCCGGGGGACGTAGCAGCCCATGAGCGCACCTGCTGAGGCAATGATGCCACATGCTGGAGGGCAGACTTCCACTACTAGCAGGGATGAGCACGATGAGCACAGTTGCCCCTTTGGGAGGAGCATGGCCAGTCGTATATTGGGGGAGGATGTGAGGGCATTGACGAGGCAGCATGTGTCACAGACACCCGTTGGCTGGGAATCGGGGACCTGGAGATGCATGCTGACCAACGGAAGAAGGTTTTCGTATATGACCTTTTTGGAGTACAGGGCGGGGTTAAGGCAGCAATACAGGGAGGGATTCATGCTCCGGACACGGCGCACGGACCAGTAGGTAGCACGGGTGATGGGGATGGTATCACAGGTGTGGCACCTCAGCGGAAGAGGAAGGACATTGTGGACAACGACGATGTTTAGTCCCACCATTAGTCTTATTTTGTCCTCCATTTTGTAATTGTATATAGTACCTTTAGTTCTTCACATTAGGTCATGTGTTCATAGGTGCAGTAGGTACAGGTCGTCATGATCATCATATGTGTTGGTATACAGGTTTGTTGTTGTTGTTGTTGTTGTTGTTGTTGTTGTTGTTCCTTTTATTTTTCTATCAATGTTTCAGATGATTGCACACTTTCTTCATACATTGTTTCACTGAGTTCAGTCTCCATGCTTCTTTTATTGTTCTGTGTTTACGGTGCAGTTGTTTCACTGTGTGTTTCGTTGGCCTCTCGTGTTCTTGTTTCGAAATTCTGCAATGAATGTTACTCACAGATAATGGTGAATGACTCAATGCTTTAAATTTCAATATTGTCATTATTTGAACTCATAAACTTGATTAAGTCTTGATTCAGTCATGAACTTGTTTCGTCGTGTGTTTCGTTGGCCTCTTATGCAATCCTTAGTAACACCCATGCAACCCTCCTGAAGCCCGAATGACGACCCTGGCAAAGCCATCCTCAACATTGCCTCAAACGTTTCCCTATTCGAGCCCCTCGACCCTGGCAATGTGAATGACAACACCTCCTAAAAAATTCCCCAACCGAGTCCCTCTCCAACCCCAAAGTCCTCGAAAACCATCCGCGCCTGAAATATGTGATATAACTAATATGTGAAACGTGCCCAGGTTTGGGAGTGGTGCGAGCAGTCATGGGACTCGCGAGATCAGAAGTTTCAAGTTGCCTGTTTGGGTAGGGTTGTGGAGTGTCACCCGACAAAGACTTCACTTTTATTTTTTTTTACGGGTGCAATACCTCCACCCACGCCCCCAATGGCAACCCCGACCCCTATAACCCCATACAAATAATTATGGAAACCCCACTTCCCCCACCCCCAACAAAAAAAAAAAA